TTCATGTACATACCATTATTATCCAGAAACCTTTGAGTGCTGTAGCTATTGGATGGTGTAACAGTTGGAGGATTCTTATGATAATTAATTTCTCTATCGAGTGCTATGAATTCAACATACACCACTGTTATAGTCAGTTACCTTTGATTGTGCTTTTATTAGCAAACTGACTAAACGAAAGCAAGTTATGTTTTTTCATGAAAGCTGTTCGTATTTTATTCTGCCGTCTGTGATAAGTCGATCAGTGACATCCGAGGACGCTTGACAATTTAATAGTGGCCCTACGTCCACGACTTTGATTGAACTCACAGTAATGGACTAACAAGGTAATTGGTTATAATGAACATGAAAAATGGAGAGCGCGTCACTCACCTGCATCACTTTAGTCATTTGTGATGGCTACCAAGCATGTCGGAACACTTTAGCTAAACAAAAAATCGAAGTCAGTGTCTATGTGTCTCAGCCAAATCCCTGTGTTCGTATTTTGTTACTTGTGTTTACGACAATAGTTTTGTTTTTTTATTAGGCGGTGCCTTATTTTGCTGACGTTCATGAAAACATAAGTACGAGATGCGGCACATCCAAATTTGGATGTACAACATGCTTTTATTCGAATAAAAGCAAGTTGTACAGATCGACCACGCGTGCAAGGCCGAGCCATTTCGTCCGACCTAAGCGAATTAATTCAAGTCATTGTTACCGCCTTCTCCGTCGCTAGGTTTTTATCTGCGTTCAATGTTGAATATCTAGTTCCCCAATTGTACCGTGTTCAACTATGAGGATTGTCTAGTTAGGGCCCAATGCTACTACAAATCTGCAACATAGGTTAGCCTTTATGCATATTTTATTCACAATTCCAAGTGCTGGCCTATTCCAATTTACTTATGCAAGAAAACATATGCGGGACGAAGTTTTACGGCATGTTAGACCTATAGTGTTGTATTTTAATCAGTGTAGTGTGGTTCCTTGGATTAGCGAATCGGTGAAACCAACTATTAGGTTTGAAAAGTGCTGTAATCGGTGTATGAGATTGGAGTGGACACATGGTCCAGCCTAGATCTCTTTTCCCAAAGTGATTCCAATCTCAATGTGTCACATAGTAAAGAGTGAATTTTGACAGCCTAATATTAAATAGTTTTATTGAAATATCACTGTGTTCCTTCGACTCTCAGCGCGCTTTTCGAACGGGAAGTTTAGTCCTAACGTGATTTGCATATATCAAACTTTTGCTGTGTTCTTACGCAACAAAAGTACCATTCCAGTTCTAAAGAATCTATCCTGAGCTATACGTTCGGTAGATTACTTTTTTTTGAGTTTCACTATATTTAATAGTTACCTGTGGTTTTGCCTCAGCTTACTATTCGGTTTTTTTTGTTTTTCACGTATAGACTAGTTTCAGTTTATATCACTCGTTTTGTCCATTTTTGTCCGTTTTCAGTGTGCTTTTTAGTGTTTTTTTAAAAAGGTCTTAGGCTCCTGCAAGCATCTATAACATAGTTTGCTTCAACACCGTCATGAAAAACTCATGCAAACGTCCGGGATGCCGTTTTGCTGTCACAACTGGCATGCAGTGCGACAACTGCAAAGGTTGGTTCCACGAAGCATGCACAAATCTGACAGCAACTGCTTACAACAGACTCAGCAAGTCAGACCAAAAGTGGGTATGTGTCACGTGCAGCATGGACGCAGTAGTCTTGCTGAGTAACATCATTGTCCTACTGACAGGTCTTCGGAACAAGCTGTCAGTTAACTTGGAATACGATAGTAAAAAAACCGATATACAAACAAGAGCGCGCAACGGACTCAAAAATAGGGATGTCGATAGGTATACCATCGATGGAGCATCCATCAACACTAATGACGACGTGTCGAGGCTCAGTACCATCATTACGTCGACGGTACTAGACTCCCTAGGCAAGCTCGGGTCTCCCAGCTCAGGGTCCCTGAACACAACAGTGGTTCCCCAAAACCCTGCAGGTGATTCGACCCACGTTAAGAGAGCCCAAAAGAACCAGGCATCACCGCCTAAGCCGAGCAACCCAAGTGTTGCTGCACGGAAAATAACTGGTGATTTAGTCGCACAGTCTACCCCCAAGACTGTTCGTCCGGTCAATAAAGAGCCCAAGATTCATAAACGCACACTGACCTCCAAATAACAAGTTATTAAACCTGAACCCATCGTGAAACCTGGTAAATTAACAACAGTTCGTGACGATTCTCTCATTATCATGAACCTCGTTGACAATCCTGATCTTCCTCTCAGTCTGCAGGACAAAAACGACAGGATGCTCTGGGGTGAATTGAACAAGAAGCTCGAACTTCCTAGAATAGAGCCTTTGACGGTCACCCGGCTCACTCGAGGAAAGGATTCTAAGCATCTAAATCACCCGAGGCTTCTCCGAGTAACACTTAAGAATGCTACCGACGTAGAGGACGTCTTGCTAGCAAGTCACTTGCTGAAATCAGATGGTAACGTAAGAATATTGCCCGACATACCGTACTCTGAGCGCAGTATCATACGAAACGTCCCTAAAGAATCTCGCGAGAAGTTTTTCCGCGGAAGAAACATAATTGTCCAAGGTATACCGGAAAATGCAGACCCTACTCAATCAAATTCTGACATCAGGGAATGGAAATTCATCAAACAGTCCTTGAGGCTCAAACACATACTGACTCAGCATGTGACGAGACTAGCCAAGAAGGACGGTGATCTTAGACCCCGTCTAATGAAGATAACCTTCCCATCTTCCCACATGGCGGCTGCAGTTCTGGAAGCATTTCGTGCTAATAGACGTCGATTGCCACCTGGAATCCACATGCACCCGGATAGGCCATACGAAGTCAGGACCAGAACAAAGGCAAGTTGGAGCTGACCATTCCACTTGTGGACTGTCTAAACGATAAAAAAAACGTAAGGACAGGGCCTACCACCTCGGCAAACCTCATATAGTGGGCTACCTGTCCATTCACATAAGGTTCATACAGAAAAACAGGACGACTCACGCGTTCCAAATTGAAAGCATAAACTGCTTTATATGAACGCCGCGAGTCTACCAAACAAACTGGATGAACTACGTGAACTTAGCAACGCTAATAAGGCCCATCTGATAGGAATATCTGAAACCTGGATATCTTCTCAGTTCTCGGACCAAGAGTTAGCATTACCTGGGATGACTTTGTTCCGCAACGACAGAAAAGGAATTGGGGGCGGAGTAGCCATATACATAAGCTCTTGCTTGGAGGTGCACCAGGTTCACAACCTCGAGTTTAACAATCTTAGGAATCCAATGGTGCTCTGTAAGATTGTCTAGTACTTCCAGGTGTCTAGTCGGAGTCATTTACAGGAAGCCAACTGCCGACAACCGAGTACGATAGTCGTATGC